CAAATCAACTATAAATTATTTTTAATTTCCCTTATCTCGGATTCAGAGAGAATGAGGGAGTAGGAAGAAGAAGAGGAAACAACTTCGAACTAACTCCAAAAGCTCTGCACCAACTTAGATTCTTAGCTCTCTAGTTTGAGTTTCAATTTCTACCATGCCAACTACCCAACAGAGGAAGAAAAGGAATCTCTCGGTGAAATCAAATCGACAATCAAACTCCAATAACCTCATCTCTCTAACTTTTCTCTAAAATCTTAGAATTGTGAATTTATGAATTTTAATTCTCAAAATTTATCTTATATACCTTAGTTATCTCTAGGCCAATTGACGCACTTAAATTACAATAACAAAACAACTCAAAATAAAATACTTAATTATATATCTCAAATAATAATTAAGAAAGCATGATGTTATAAATATTACTTTTATTATATTTCTTTAATGATAACTTTTCTTTAAAGGCATGCAGAGACAATATACCACCTTATCAATTTTTCAATTTTTTCGTCTCAATTAATCAATTCAATTAGATACTCCGTGATTTAGACAAAATATATACTATATTTTAGTTGACATTTTATAGTATTGATAAAATAATAAATATATATTTTATTATTTTTAATTATTTATAATAAAGTGAGGAAATAAAAAAAATATATACATGAGTCGAAAAAATCTAACTAATATATATATATATATATATATTATAGAATCAAAGTTTCACATAGTAAAGAAATAAACATAATTTATAAATATATAAATGTCTTTATTGATATGAGATATTTTAAGTGATTATAAAAAAATTTATACTCAAAATGAATATTAGTATATCAATATAGAGACATAGTAAACAATTATATATCTTCACTTTTCTTCTATTTTTTTTTATACATTTAAAGAATCTAAAATAATATATCATTTTATACTGTCTTTTTTTTTCATTTTCTTTTATTCTTAAATTGAAAGTACTAGAGTCAATTTAGTAATAGAGAATTAAGATAGGATACACAAAAATTTAAATTTAAACTTTGAAGCTATTCTTTTATTTTCAATGAGTAAAAAAATTGGAACAAAGCATTAAACAATTTGTTGTAAAAAAAAAAAAAAAAAAAAATTTATTTTCAATGAGTAAAAAAATTGGAACAAAGCATTAAACAATTTGTTGTAAAAAAAAAAAAAAAAGTAAACGAGAAAAGAGGGAGGTGATGTGTCATGAAAATAAGTGATGGGTTGGTAGCAATAATGGGAGGATAATAGTAAAATAGCTACACCTGTTCCAACTTCCAAGGTTACCGTATTTCAAGCTATGATGCTTCCATGAATATAGAGAATGGATCTAAACATCTGCAGATACCTCCCACTGAAAAAAAACATAGGATTTGTAGTCTCCTTACTCTTGTTCATCTGTTACACGTCATTTATGACTTGTCTCCGCACCAAATTCATGTTGCTCGAAATCATATTTTGCAATGTTTTCCAAAAAAAAAAATGCCTTGTATTTTTGGTGGAACATGTTTGTGCCAAGCCAAACATAGACTTTATCCACTAAATGTGCTGTTAATGAACTATAAGCTGAACGTAATGTGTAACTATCCTCTCCTTCTCCTTTCCAAGTTATCTAAACCCCCTCCTGCTTCTGTAGACCCCAATAAAATATTTTTAATAATATTATTTAATATTACTAGTTCAATTATATATGAATATTAAATCTTAAATCAGTATCTTGATTCAGTTATTGGTATGATTTTAAAACATTAAAATTAATAATAAACTTATTCCCAAATTCTCATGTAAGTCGACAAACAATAAAATCATTTTAGTATAGATTGATGATACAAAATTGACAAATAACCGATATAGAAAAGAGATAACATATAATAAGAAAGAATTAATCACAAGAATTAAAAATTATTAATTTTAAAATGTTTGATCATTTAGAATTTATTAAAATTATTATAACAGTCAAATTATAATATTTTATTAAAATTAATATTAATTAGACTTTAGAATTAATAATTAATAAAATAATAATTTTAAATTTTAAGTTTAAAATAATTTTATGAATAAATTAGCTTTTTAAAATATTTTAAAATACATGATAGAATCTAATCTATCCAAGTTGCTCCGTAATAGAAACTATTTCTTTGTTTCTTTTGCAGTTGCTCTTGTGGCAGAGTGAGTAGAAACTACCAAAAGTAATGGCAGCTCACCAGAAGTTGCACCAACAATTTTTTTTTTTAATTCTTCCTTTAATGATTTTTCAACCAGTATTGTTGAATCTTTTCTCAATCATATTAACCATCAAATAATTAAAAATCACCTTAAATATAACTTTTAAAGTAATTAAATCACTAATCATCAATATTAAAATACATGATAATGTTTAGTGTTAAAAATGTTTACATTTTCAGCACCTACTTAAATTCTTTGTTCCAACCATATTCATGTTATCTATTTGATGACATCAAGTCAAACCATTAATAAAATTATAACCAATTAAGGGAAGGGAATATGCATAGAACTCCATATTTCAAGTAATTAGCTTTATGAGGAAAAATTATGCAGATTGAGGCGAAGTGGGACTTTTCTTGACCGTTGGTGTTGGGGTTATTTTATGGTATTTGTTTGAGAGAATTTTATAAGTATTATTTTTATAAAGTTATTATACAAGTATATTCCATAACGATGAGATATTATCTGCTTTAGGTCTAAATCTTCAAAGTTTTGTTTTTGATCATCACCTAAAAGACTTCTCAATCATTAAAGTATGTTTATGTTATATAATTTGTTAATTTTTTTTGCTTTATTTTATTGATGCAGGACTTGTTTATATTTTAACAGTCTCAAACCAAAATTCTCAGTTCCAACACCCGCTTATCAAGAAGATCTATATAAAGTTATATTTAAGAGATATATATAAACTATACTCCAAAACTTAAATAGGCAATGTGAAACTTTCCTACAGAAGAGAGAACACGATGTCGGTGGTGCTCACTGTCGAGGATTTGAACATTAAACTTTTGAGGAACAGTATCATGTCATCCATGTAACTTCAGTTAGGGGATAAGACTTCTCTTGTTCTCAAATCTTCTTGTTAACAACCCTTCTTATGTTATGGAGAAAAAATACCCAGCTCAATAATAAGTGGAATTAGAAACCATTACTGCCACTTATATCTTAAACATCAAACAGATGATTCAAGTTGCAAATATGTAACAATTATTTATGCTACGCGGGACAAAAACAGCAAGTATCTGGAAAAGGAACACAAAATAACTGCATTAATCGTCTGGATAGGAAAATCAGTCCATGACCATAAAATCCACTAAGGTTGTCACCAAAATTCAAAGCAAGTAGAAGAGTGTATCCATATCCATCAAGGGAAACAACATTACAAATTTACAACACCAAAATCTAACCAATTCAACAGTCAAGAGAATCAATCCCAAAAAAAAGTGAGAAAGAAATGGTTGAACAGACAAACATAAACATATATATACCATCACCACAGCCTAGCTTGACAAGGAAAAAAAAATGATGGTTCAAGAGCTAAGTTAGTCGGGCTTCATGGGCTAGAAGTGCAGCAGCCTGTAATCCCTCCACTGTCGAGAGGCAGGGGTGATCGCTGCTCTGTGAAACCAGCCTCACGCGGTGCCCTCTAGTCTAGGAACCAGGAGACCTATGCCTTCGCCCAGATCCCATGGCTCAACTCTCGACTTGGAGCGGGCAGGCCAGCATAATGCAGCCTCCAACCCAGCCTGGCTAAGGCAAAGCCTTGTCCCATCACAAGGATGCCCCCACTTGGGTCACAAGCTGATGTTACCCAGCTCGGCGAACTGAAATGCTTGTAAGAAGCTTATAAAGGCTGCTTTGTCAATTATTCTAAACGATGTGGGACTTGCAAATGCCAATATTAGTCTAAATTGAAATGTGGTGGTACATGATCGGATCCTCCTCAATCTATTTGTAGCACTCTAGAGTCTAGCCCGAAAGTATTGTGTTTATGCAATGGCTTCCGCTTACAAGTAAATGATCTTACTCTCTTGTGTCCATTTGAAGGCGCAAAGAAAAACAGCTATTTTGGTGCTTGGTGCTTAATGACTACTTATAGATAGTCTGGATGTATGCTTTAGATGCTTCATTTAGGTTGTGTTGCCTTGTGCAATATAAGGATTGGGACACGTCTATCCATGACTGTGAATTTGTGAAAAATAATCAATAATAATGCTTAAAAAAGTAAGAGAGGTACGAGTGTGAGTGCAAATGAGGGGAAAGGAGTGGAGGTGGGGTGATAAGGGAAGAATCGCAACAAACAATCCATATAGATTTAGATACCAACAAAGTAGATGATGGGATCCTTTAAGTATGTAGAGAATAGTTTGATTTTTAATTACGTATAAGTTTTTTTTCTTCAAAGAGATAAAACATACTTTGGTAAGTTTTAGCTTCTTACAATACGAGTTACAGCAATACAAAATCCAAAATTGGTTCATAAGAAGATATTTGTATGTCTTTCATTATTGGGTTTGTAGGTATAAATGGTAGCGGATTTTTTTTGTTTATTATTATTATTTTTTTAATATAAGATAACTCAAATACTATAAGATAATATGAATTTATGTCTAACATGATTTTACAAAAATAAATTATAAAATAAAAGTTATCTTTGCACTTATATATTCAATGTTGACTTTATCTATAGCTTAAAAATAATTTATAAAATTACGTTGAGATTAAAGAAAGATACATAAGTTACGTGGGAGATACAAAATGTCACTAAATTTAAAAGACAAGTTAAATTAAATATATATGAACATGTTTAATAATAAAGAATATATTTTGTCTTATTAATGATTATTCATTTTTTTTTAATTTCAGTATTTATTTATCTATTTATAATATATAAAAGTTGAGCTATATACTATTAAGATGTGACGTCACTATACTTAAATTTGCCATGTCTCGTACGAGATGTTACATGGATAGGGCAACACGTGCAGTGCGAGATGGTACGTGGATGGGGTAGCAGGTGAAAGTAGGACACAATCGGAGTCATTCAGAGATATGAGAATCAATCCACCCATGTGACATTGGGTATAGTAGTAAGTGTCATCAAATCAGTGTTACTTTATATAAATATTATCATGCCAGAACTGAACATAAATATGAACGGATTCAGTAGTGTCCAAAATTCTCAGCAAATTTATCATGCGCAAGATGTCATGTGAGTGAGACAGCACCGCACTACAGAAGCTGCCCGAAGTAATGGAGGCTCTCCAGAAGCTGCATCAACAAATTTTATTTTATTTTAATTCTTCATTTAATGATTTTTCAACCAGTATAGTCGAATCCTTTCTCAATATTAACAGTAATATTAGAAATCAACAAGAAACTGATTAGAAATCAAGTAAGATATAACTTTTTAAGTAATTATCATAAAAACCAACAATATTAGAATAATGATAATCTTTAGTGTAAAAGATCTTTACATTCACTAAAAGATATACATATTCATCACCTAATTAAATTCTTTTTTCCAACCATATTCATGTTATCTATTTGATGGCATCAATCAAACCATTCATAGAAATATAACGAATTAAGGAAAGAAAATATGCATAAAACTCCATGTTTCAAGTAATTTGCATTTACGATGGAAAAAATATGCAGACATAGTTTAATACTTAATTTAGTTTTGAGAATTCCCATGCCATACCCTTTGAAGAGAGAACACGTTGTTGATGGTGCTCACTGTTGAGGATTTGAACATTAAACTTTTGAGGAATAGTGTCTAATGTAGGACTTTTGTAGTTCCATGTCATCTACCAAGACCATACAAGATTTGTTTCATATTCTTCAAGCATGAAAAAACCCAATCCCTGGATAAAAGATCCTTCAATCTGCAACACGCAATTGTTTCGTTATCAAATGAAGAGAAAAAACCATCGATGTTTTGCAATTAATTAAACAAGAGAATGTAAAAGATCCAGCTAATAGAAGTGATAGTAAGAGGCCAAAAACATTATTGCTTAAAGCTTAAAGTTGAGTTGAGTTGGTCCTTCATTTGATACAAGTATGAGTTTTAGGATAATTATTATAAAAATCAATAAATTATCAAACAAACTTGTTATACGTGAGAGTGTGATTGAGTAATAACAAACATACCATTTAAATAACCATTTGTTATTCTTTCAGGGCTGTCTATCAGTCGGTTAAAGAACTGGAAAATAAAACCAGCTGCCAAACTTGAACGGTAAGCAGTATGTGAGGTATCATCTTTAGGTACAATAGTGGCTATAATCAAGTTGACAACATTATATAGAATGCTAGCACTTAACAGTTTTCCTGCTAAAAATTCCTCAACATTTTTTACTCTCATTGCATGCTGAGTCCCATAAGCACCAAAAGACAACCTGCAAGTGTCTATCACAGTTCCATCAGAATTCTTGCATGGAGACACCTTAGCCAGGAAGGCAGCATTCAAGTAAGGAAGGGCATTTCCAAGGGGTCGAGGAGAAGCTCGGTAAGTTTCTAAGAGGAATCTACTTCTTTGCCCTGATGATTCACTTTCATTGAGAACCAAACTAGGAACTTTAATGCTTAAAAGCACACTATCCAAGCTTATTGGTGGTCTTTCCAGAAACTCCTCCAATGTCAGCCACTCAAATTGTGTAGCAGTCATTATGTGAACCATTGAATCCACAGCAAGAAGTATTGTAGCAATATCCGAGGGAAAATGATGCCTCTGTGCCATCACTAGATTGCCACCTACACTGGCTGTGTTCCTAATAAACCCTGAGGCAACTTTGTTCATATGGTCAGCAATCTTTTCAAGTATCATTGTATAATGTGAGAGAAAGTCACTTCTTCTGTCTTCCTTTAGTGCTTCAGTGGCTTTTGATATTGTCACTGCTGCTCCAATTTCAATCCCTGTCCTATCCTTTCTGATCATTGAGAGCTCAGAAATGCCCCTTTGATCAATGTACACATCATAGCTTTCATTATCTTTGTAATATACCATGCCTGTATTACTAAAAACAAGTTTCATCCTTGTCGCATTGGCTTGGTTTAATGCCAATAATCTCTGAAGCTCCTTCAGACTAGTAGGACTATACCAACAGTGTTCCTCAGAAGCCAAGGACACGAATAGCTTGATTTCCTTCAAAAAAAACAAAGGAAATCTAACATTAGTGTGATTTTGGTCATATTGAGGCAAACCTACTAAGCTTTAAGTCCTTGCTCTCTCTGTTTCTCCAAAAAGAATTGAACCCCAAATCCTCTATATCAACATCAGCTGCAAAGCTTTAGCAGGCATCAGCAATGGGTTTGTAACCGGTACAGCGACAAAGGTTGCCTGCAATGGCCATTTCAGCCTCTGAAGCAGACACTTTTGAGAATCCAGAAGGTGGCTCTGGACGATTGGTCTTTTCAGCATTGACAAGAGTACCATAAAGGGAAACACACATTCCAGGAGTGCAGAAGCCACATTGAGTGGCATGGACTCCAGCAATTCTTTCATGGATTGGGTGGAAACCGTGGAACCCATCTTTACTATTTCCAATGCCTTCACTTGTTGTTATGGAACATCCATGTATGCTGCAAAGTAGTGTGAGACAAGAGCTTGCCGTGAAATAGTCAACTTTGCCGAGCACTGGATCATATTTGGAGATTAATACTACACAAGCACCACAACCACCTGGAACAAATAACCATGTCAAAACACGAAGTACTAAGTTGAAATGATTTCGAGGATCACTAAAAGGCAACATCTTTTCCTGCTTCATTTTCATGACAAAATTATCAGAAACAACAAGAGCAATTTTCATGACAAAAGGGAATGGTGTGATGTGATTATGTAGCTAACTTCAGCAAGTGGGAATACGCAAGAAGTCGAGTAAAGTGGTTGATGGTCATAGAGCTCGATCCTCTCACCATTAACACCAAAAACCAAACTTATTGGTGTATTCAGCTCCATAGTTCAACACTGTTATTTCACTTTTCAGCAACAGAAGAGAGTTATCCGGTTATGTTATGTCTGTAATCATTTGTTATCTTTTCAACATTTGGCACATTGCTTCTCCATTTTGCCTCCTTAATAGCTTTTGTTATCCTTGCATTCGATGCATTTTCCATAGAATAATTCTTACTCAAAATCTGTACGACACTTTTACTGAATTGAAAGAATAGTAAACTAGACAAGTCAAAATATTGTAAAAATGTTGTACGAAGAGAATAATACTATCTTTTTTCAAGGGAAATCCTGACCATAGAAACATTGCTGCCTTTTTCAATCATGTAGTATTTTGGCACATGCTTTGATAAATGACAGTTTGTTAAATCTTCAAGTTTGGGCACGAGGGTAAAATATAAACATAAGAAAAGAATCCTCCGAATACAGTATAAAACAAAAACTCCAAAGTTTATTTTCAAGGGTGAAATAAAAAATGATGGTTCAAGAGCTAAGTTAGTCGGGCTTCAATGGGCTAGAAGTGCAGCAGCCTGTAATCCCTCCACTGTCGAGAGGCAGAGGTGATCGCTGCTCTGTGAAACCAGCCTCACGCGGTGCCCTCTAGTCTAGGAACCAGGAGACCTGTGCCTTCGCCCAGATCCCATGACTCAACTCTCGACTTGGAGCGGGCAGGCCAGCATAATGCAGCCACCCAGCCTGGCTAAGGCAAAGCCTTGTCCCATCACATTGATGCCCCCACTTGGGTCACAAGCTAATGTTAGCTAGCTCGGCGAACTGACGTGCTTGTCAGAAGCTTATAAAGACTGCTTTGTCAAATATTCTAAACGATGTGGGACTTGCAAATGCCAATATTAGTCTAAATTGGAATGTGGTGGTACATGATCGGATCCTCCCCAATCTATTTGTAACACTCTAGCCCGAAAGTATTGTGTTTATGCAATGGTTTCCGCTTACAAGTTAATGATCTTAAATTACACTTTTGAGTCCATTTGAAGGCGCAGAGAAAAACAGCTAGTAATTAGATGCTTCGTGCTTAATTACTAGTTCTAGTCTCGATGTATGCTTTAGATGCTGCCCTTGACGAGCAAACTAGCTTCATTTATGCTATGTATGTTGCTTTATTGGAAATTTTAAGGATTAGGAACAAGTTGAATAAATATATATTTAGTCTTACTAATGATATTAACCTAACTTTTATTTATTTAACAATCCCATTGTTATTACTAGTTACTAGAGAAATAAAGATGATCCGTGCTTACATTTGATAAATTGAAAAAAAAAATGTTTTCATACATAATACTTATTATTGAACAGAGGAGTAATAGTATTATATTTTTTGTTTTGTTTAATATTAACATATTAATAAAAAATGATTTTAAAAATATTGTTTAATCTTTACTGATTAACTATATTTGAACGATCAAATCTTAAATCCGTATCATCATTGGTATAATTATTGGTCTGATTTTAAAAATATAAAAATTAATAATAAGCTTAATTGATTAATAAGACAATTAATATTTAATAACATTTATGTTATATTAGACTTGTAATCCTTACATTTATCTAAGTGGTGAGATGAAAGAAAACACAACCTATTTTTTCACCCCCAAGATTTTATTTTTAGTTAAATCATTGTTGTATATTCTATAGATGATTTGAGTTCCTTCCCATGCTGCCCATTTTCCATTTCAAGTATGTTTGCACAATGTCGAGTCCACAGAGTTGCTTGAGCACAGGCATTGTTGCAGGGACCTCCAACTGAAATGTTGAATCTGGTCCATCCAAGTTGCTCCATGATAGAAGCTGTTTCTTTGCTTCTTTGGCAGCCGCTCTTGTGGCACAGTGAACAGAAACTGCCAGAAGTAATGGAGGCTCACCAGAAGCTGCAAACAAATTTCTTTTTTTTTTAATTCTTCATTTAATGATTTTTCAACCAGTATAGGTGATTCCTTTCTCAATCATATCAACAGTAACAGTAAACTAAATAGTAATCAACTTAGATACAACTTCTAAAGTAATTATCACAAAAATCAACAGCATAATGATAATCTTTAGTGTAAAAGATCTTTACATTCACAAAAGATCTTTACATTTTCGGTAGCTAATTAAATTCATTGTTCCAACCATATTCATGTAATCTATTTGGTGGCATCAAGATTCAAGTCAAACCATTCATAAAAAATATGATGAATTAAGGAAAGGAAATATGCATAAAACTCATGTTTCAAGTAATTTGCATTTATGTGGGGAAAAATATGCAGACATAGTTTAATACTTTATGATTTATTTTTGAGAATTTCCGTGTCATACCCTTTGAAGAGAGAACACGTTGTGGGTGGTGCTCACTGTTGAGGATTTGAACATTAAACTTTTGAGGAATAGTGTCTAATGTAGGAATTTTGTAGTTCCACGTGCCATCTACCAAGACCAAACCATCAAGATTTGTTTCATATTCTTCAAGCATGAAAAAACCCAACCCCTGTATAAAAGATCCTTCAATCTGCAACATGCAATTATTTTGTTATCAAATGAGTTATTCAGACATGGTAATTTGATATGCTGACAACTTCAGGAAAACGAATCAAAGTACCAAACTAACCCATACCTAATCTATTTCAAATAAATAAAAATAAAAAAATAAAAAAAAACCAAGGTGTAAAGTTTGAATTGAAAGGAGTGGAATTTATACATAGAAGTAATAAAGTTTGATCAGGCTAATAGAAGTGATAATAAAGAGACCAAAAACGTTCTAGGGCCAACCAAAAACGTTTTGAGTTAAATTGGACGTTGATGCTAATGTTGAGATTGTATGGCAATTTATACATAGCTTACTTGTCCTAAATCCACAGCTGGGTTGAGACTCTGTCCACAATCATAGATAATATCTGTCTGCAAACATCTGGTTTCTCCAGTCACAAGATCTATTTCCACCTGACAAATAATGTCCATTATTTAGTAAGATGACTTCTGTGATTATATGACATAAGTGCTTAACATTGAATTCAACTAATGAACATGGGACAGTTCAATTTTGATTTGAGATAAACAAACTTACCTCACTTACTGCAGCACCATAATTAATGTATCTACTGGAATTAGTACTGGGTACATAAAATGAAGATGCTGATAAATTCACAGATTGTGCATATGCCTGTTTGTTGATAAATTGTCAGTAATATAGTAATTCAATATGTTTTCTTGTGAGCTAGAAAAATAAAAATAAACAAGATGTCAATTAAAAGATAACAATTATAAGGGAAAATAATAAGAATAAGAGGAGTGTGCAATTATATGATTAATGAATTATAAATTAAGAAAAAAAGTTAGCTTTAAAGTATGACTTTTAAAGTAGTTGTCGTTCAAGTCAAGAAACTCACTGTACATAATAATTTGTGATCAGATAACAGGGTAAAAACTTTTAATAATATCAGTGCAGATAGTATTTTGTTTACTGATGTTTAAAGTATAGGCGCTACCTGGATAATAAGTGTCTCCCAATTGACAGAACCCATTTCCTTTTGCAATTTTTCCTTGAGAGGCTTTAACCTCTCAACCAAGATATCACAGCTAAGCCTAGCAGCTTCACAGCTTGATTCTGATGTGGTGCTCCCAGCAGTTAACCCCCCTTGAATCAAGCTCACTGTATCAGATTGTACAACCCTTACTTTATCCAAGAGACCATCAATTCCATCACATTTAACTGCACCAAGTGCAAATGCAACCATTTGTTTCACCTTTGTCCAAAGACCCTGACCCAGTTCAATTCCTCCAACTTCAGCAACAACAGACCCATCTGAAAAAATACTTACTTTTCCCGTAGTAGCTCTTTGAGTCACCTCATACATCACTGGCACTCTAGAAATCCCCCTTTTCTTCCAAGTGTTAGTCCTGTTAAACTCTTTCACCATTTCTACTCTTACTTCATAGTTAGCGAAAGCATTTAACTTGCTCCATATTAAAGGCATAGTATACTCATGAGGCTCCCCACAAGAATCCTCATAGAATGCCTTGAGACTTGTGTATGTGTGGAGGTTAATGCTCCTTACAGAATCTACATCCATTTCAAGTGTAGCTGCAACTTTTTCTATTATAGCTTCTGCAATGTATGATCCTTGCACATCCCCAGGGGCCCTCATTGCAGCTCTACTAGGATGGTTTGTTCTGCACAGCTTTATATCAAAAGAGAGAGCACCCCAATCATACTTTTTAAGTGCACCAATCATGTTGCGTGGTATTATTGGACTACAATCCACATATATTCCTGCATTAACCAAGATTTCAAGTTCTAATGCTGTAATCTTCCCATCATTCTTGAAACCAACACTGTAAGTTATCTTCATGGGGTGTCTTCCTCCAGCCATTATCATATCTGTCTTTCGATTTAGATACATCCTGACCGGATGCCGCAATTTGTGTGCTGCCAATGCACATGATGTAGCACACTGCAACATTTGAAATTTTGAATGTCATACTCATAGGAAAAGTCATAACAAATGTGCTGCCAATGCACATGACTATAACCAAAAGCCTTTTTTCCATTTCACTTGTGACTTCTCCAAACTAAGGAAAATTCAAATATTCATGCCTAGACTCTACATGTTAAGTAGTCATGTTCAAGAAATGACAATAGATCTGCAATAAATAAGAAATAATGTCAAAAGCATAGAACACAATTAAAAACTTACTGTTACAGATCTCAAGGACTTTCCACCAAAACCTCCACCAACCCTTCTAGTAATGACACGAACATTATTTGCAGGAATACCTAGGCATCTTGCAATATTAGCATGCACATACTCAGGGGATTGACTTGAACTGTAAACCACAATGCAGTTGTCTTCATCTGGTACAGCAAGTGCAGTTTGTGTCTCCATGTAGAAATAGTATTGAGACCCAAGTTTCAACTGCATTTAACATTGCATTTGATACATGATTACAAAGAGTATGTTTGATCAATATAGTCATCAACATTCATTATTCAGAAACAAACTTAAAGATCACGTTAGAAACCAAAGTCGAGATGGCTACAAAGGTGAGAAAGGAGTGGAAGGATGAAAAAAGGGAAACAATATGCTACATGTACCTCAGCAGAAAGAATCTTGTGATCTGCTTTAGCCATTCCTTTTGACACATCACCAACTTGACTTGGGACGAAGAAAGGAGGTAATTGAAAAATGCTAGATCTTTTAACAGCATCTTCCACACTTAGGATAGGTGGTTCAAGATTTTCAAGACTGTAATCCACAATAGCAGAGTTTGCGGCCATATCTGCTAGTTTCTGAGTATCTGCAACCTATAGAAGCTATAAGGTGACTAAAATGGAAGCATTTCATTATATCAGTCTCCAAAGAAATGAAACAGAAGCTCATACATTGTTAGATGTTAAGATTTAAAACTCACCACAATGGCAAGTCGATCACCAACACATTTAGCTATCTCTTCAGCAAATAAAGGTTCTTCACCAAACGAAGACTTTGATCCACTGTTCTGCCCCCCATTGGGAATGTCTTTGCTCGAAATAATACCCCTCACTCCATCCAGTTTCAATTCAGGGCTGAGTTTTATACTCTTTATCCTTGCTAAAGGTTTTGCACTATAAATATATGTTCCATGCAGGCAATTTTTTGGTGACGGAATGTCATCCACAAAAACAGCCTCACCTATACATGATTTATTGATAAATATGTACTTGTTACTGAACAGATATTAAAACAACTAAATACGGAAAACCAATAAACCCTTATTGAAAGGCATCAAAACAGGATATAATAAATGCCTGAGTCTCACAGTCAAAGATTAGTCTAAACTCTAAAGCAAGGAAGGTGAGAGATATTTGAAGTTAACTTTCCAATCACAGTTATGTCTACTTTAAGCCAAGCCAAGCAACAGGTAAGTGGACCTTTTTTATCTTTGGTGTTCCCAATAATTTACTACTTTGAAATGTCAATAGAGATACAAAGAAATGGAATCTATCAAAATCATAAATTGGAGCTAAACAAACCTGAAGCTTGTAGTGCGGCACCGGATTTGATGACTGGCTCTCCAATGGGTTGATACTCAGTACCTGCTTCAAGGACCTGCTTCCCAGATGACAGTAAGGCTGGAGTTTTGTCATGATGAACCTGCTTCCGATTTTCTGTTAATCCAAAATCCTTCACAGATGACAGATTAGTATGTTCATTTAAATAACCATTTGTTATTCTTTCAGGATTGCCAATCAGTGGGTTAAAGAACTGAAAAATAAAACCAGCTGCCAAACTAGAACGGTAAGCAGCATGTGAGGTATCATCTTTAGGTACAATAGTGGCTGTAATCAAGTTGACAACATCATATAGAATTCTAGCACTTAAAAGTTTTCCTGCTATAAATTCCTCAACATATTTTGCTCTCATTGCATGCTTAGTCCCATAAGCACCAAAAGACAACCTACAAGTGTCTATCACAGTTCCATCAGAATCCTTGCATGGAGACACCTTAGCGAGGAAAGCGGCATTCAAATAGGGAAGGGCGTTTCCAAGAGGTCGAGGAGAAGCTCGGTATGTTTCTAAGAGAAATCTACCTCTTGGTTCTGAAGATTCACTTTCACTGAGTTTCAAACTAGGAACTTTAATGCTTAAAAGCACACTGTCCAAGCTTAATGGTGGTCTTTCCAGAAACTCCTCCAATGTCAGCCACTCAAATTGTGTACCGGTCATTATGTGAACCATTGAATCCACAGCAAGAAGTATTGTAGCAATATCCGAGGGAAAATGATGCCTCTGTGCCATCACTAGATTGCCACCTACACTGGCTGTGTTCCTAATAAACCCTGAGGCAATTTTGTTCATATGCTCAGCAATTTTTTTAAGTATCATTACATAATCTGAGAGAAAGTCACCTCTGCTCTCTTCCTTGAGTGTTTCAATGGCTTTAGATATTGTCACTGTTGCTCCAAATTCAATCCCTGTCCTATCCTTTCTGATCATTGAGAGCTCAGAAATGCCCCTTAGATCAATGTACACATCATAGCCTTCATTATCTTTGTAATACCCCATGCCTGTATTACTAACAACAAGTTTCATCCTTGTCTCATTGGCATGGTTTAATGCGAATAATCCCTGAAGCTCCTTCAGACTAGTGGGACAATACCAACCGTGTTCCTCAGAAGCCAAGGACACAAATGGCTTGATTTCCTTCAAAAACAAAGGAAATCTAACATTATTGTGATTTTGGTCATATTGAGGCAACCTACTAAGCTTTAAGTCCTTACTCTCTCCCTTTCTCCAAAAAGAATTGAACCCCAAATCCTCTATATCAACATCAGCTGCAAAGCTTTTGCAGGCATCAGCAATGGGTCTGTACCCGGTACAGCGACAAAGGTTGCCTGCAATGGCCATTTCAGCCTCAGAAGCAGACACTTTTGAAAACCCGGGAGGTGGCTCTGGACGATTGGTCTTTTCAGCATTGACAAGAGTACCATAAAGGGAAACACACATTCCAGGAGTGCAGAAGCCACATTGAGTGGCATGGAATCCTGCAATTCTTTCATGAATTGGGTGGAACCCATCTTTACTATTTCCAATGCCTTCACTTGTTGTTATGGAACATCCATGTATGCTGCAAAGTAGTGTGAGACAAGAGCTTGCTGTAAAATCCTCAACTCTGTCATGCACAGGATCATATTTGGAGATTAAAACTACGCAAGCACCACAACCACCTGAAACAACCAACCATCTCAAAACATTAAGAATTAAAGGTATCTCAGGATAAACTTTTCCAGAAGCATTTTACAAAAACAAAAAAAAAATGCAAATTACCTACTGCAGTTTATTTATTAACATATTTCATTTTTTCTTTATAATTTTTTTTCCGAAAGCATTTCCGAAGGCTCTAAGTTGAAAAGATTTGGAGGATTATTAAAGGCCAACATCTTCTCCATCTTCATTTTCTATACAAAACCATAAAAAACAAGAGTTTGCTTGGCAGTACAAAAACAGCAAGTTACTGGAAAAGGAACACACATTTAACTGCAAAAATTGTCTAGAATTGGAAAATCATTCCAAGACCATAAAACCCATTAAGGTTCTCACTAGTTAACAACAAGCCTAATGATATTAAAAAAGAAAATCCAGAAACTCAAAGCAGGTAGAAGAGTGTATCTATCAATATCCATGAAGGGAAACAACAATAAAATGTGATGAATTCAACAATCAAGAGAATCAATCCATCCCAAAAAAGGAGAGTGAACAAGAGAAATGGTTGAATACACTAGAATCACATATATACCTTCACCACAGCCAAGTTTGACACTCTTGAAACTAGTGTGTGTTCGCAAGAATTCGAGTAAAGTGGTGGAAGGGTCAACGTTGGAAAGCTCAAACCTCTCACCGTTGACACCAAAAACCAAACTTGTTGGTGTCTTCAGCTCCATAGCTCCGCAACTGTTATGTCAGGTTTCAGAAAGAGGCATACAAATTTTCCACGAGTAAAGGACTCTGATCAATCATCACTATGCTGTTTTAGTATCTTTACAATTGACAACAAAGTCAACTGAATGATTAATACGTGCATGACGTGGGAGCATTTGGTACATTGCTTCTCCTTCTCGATTTTGCTGCTTTAGTAGTTAGATAGATTTTGTTTCATTCGGTGTAAACTTGTAAAAAAATTGTGAAAATTTTAAATTATTTTGATAATTGATTACATGTATAATTGGTTTTTGAGAGGATCAGGTCAATGATTTGTATTTCAGATAAACTAAACCATTGAATAAGGGATTTGGTCTTCCAAATTTAATATATAATCTTAAACATAGAACTTATTTTATAATATTTTTCATAAAAATAATAAAAGTAAAAAACTGAAAAAAATATTAAATGAGCAATTAAAGTTGTAATTAAATTATTAATAATTAAACTGATATTTACTAGAGCATCTCCAATGGGAGTTGCTTGTCCTGTGAAGCAACTCAAGCCCCGATTTCTTGTCACTGGATAATTCTGACGTGGTAACATGAGTTACTTGAAGAAAAGAGAGAGTTGTTTCTTGAAGCAACTATTTTTTATTGAACATATTTGGGAACGTTTTGAAAATAATAATGATGAAAATTAATTTCGTATAATGTTTATGTATTTACTATTATTTTATTGTATTTTAAATATCTACTTATTGTGTATTTTTTTTCTTGTAATTTATTTTCTTTCGGCAAAACACCTAATTTAGGAGAGTGTATGGGTTTAGGATTTTGTAGGATTTTAATAAAAAAAAATTGAGTAAAAAAGTCCATTGGTATTCAATCAGGATTTTATGTCACTTAAAAACAATCCAGTGGTATTCAATCTGGATTTTAAAATTTTTTTAAAGAGTCCATTAAAATCCATTGGTATTCATTTGATAGTGCTACTGGCCTCACAGGCATTATGGTGGCAAAATCAATGGAGTTCTCATATCAAGAACTAGCCAAGGCTACAAATAACTTCAGCTTGGAGAATAAAATTGGTCAAGGTGGATTTGGAGCTGTTTATTATGCAGAACTGAGAGGCGAGGTGAAGTTATATTCAGTTTTATAACATAATCAGACAAAATATTATTCATGGAAAGAAGGGAAACAAAAATGAAGGATAAAAGTTTTTTACTTGTACTCGTGTGATGTCATTAGTGATACATACAACTTTCCCATGTTATTGGTATTTTATTTGGTATGTCTAAATTGTAAGGCTTTAAGTTCATTGTTTTGTGTGTAGGGTATACGTAACATTGAAAAGCAAGATACTAAGTAGTTTCATTGAACTGAAAGATATATGTAACATTGTTTACTTATTAGTGGATAATGTTCTTAAGGGTGGATAGGCAAGTTTCTGTTTTTTGTGCCGCTTCAGATTAACCATTTATTTTTTATATTCTATAGTCTATTCCTAGATTCCTCTCATATAATTCATTTCTACGCAGAAAACAGCAATTAAGAAGATGGATGTACAAGCATCAACAGAATTTCTTTGTGAATTGAAGGTCCTAACTCACGTTCATCACTTGAATCTGGTACAACATCCTTCAAATAATTTCAAGCATGTATACATGATTACATTCAACATTCAAGAAGAATAGTTGATCATTTTCCCTGTTGTTTGAATAACACTAAGGTTGTTAAGAAACAAATTTTCAGGGTGATTTTACGAACAGAATTACAAAACAGTCTATAATTATCCAGCAAAACTATTTCTGGAGCAGATCCACATATAATCCTACAAATTAACATGAGATCAGCATTATTTATGTGAAAAAAACTTGTGAAAAATCTTTATCTCATTTATGTGGTTGTTTGAGTGTCAATGGGGGTTTACTTTTTGGCATAAGCATAAACAGTTCCATGTAAGTTCTAAATCTTCTTCTATATTTATATAACTACCTTTTATTAATAACAACACAGGTGCGTTTGATTGGATATTGCGTTGAGGGGTCTCTTTTCCTTGTATATGAATATATTGACAATGGAAACTTAGGCCAATATTTGCATGGTACAGGTGAGATCAACATATATTGATGATCTTTTCCTATATATGATGTTACCTTATTTTCAAACAATCAATAATGATGATAACATGATTCCAGGGAAAGATCCTTTGCCTTGGTCTAGTCGAGTGCAAATTGCGCTAGATTCAGCAAGAGGCCTTGAATATATTCACGAGCACACTGTGCCTGTGTATATCCACCGTGATGTAAAATCTGCAAATATACTAATAGACAAAAACTTCCGTGGAAAGGTTGCAATCTTACCACTCATCAGGATCCTCATTCCTAGTCTTGATATTCCATTTCTATTTTGAGACTAATTAAACCATATAAGATTTTAAATACAGGTTGCAGATTTTGGGTTGACCAAACTTATTGAAGTTGGAGGCTCCACGCTTCACACTCGTCTTGTGGGAACATTTGGATACATGCCACCAGAGTATGTTTTTTATGTTGTGTTAAATGATACCATACTCTTTATATGAAATTTGGGTTTTGTTGGAATAAACATGTGTACACTGTGTTGTGTTACTAGTAGCCATCTTGTTAATTTATTATTAATGAATCATCAGCTTTTCTTATTGACAAACAGATCATAACAATCAAATATTGAATGATTAAGTAGTAAAATCAAATTCAGTTTTCAGAAGATATCATAGTGAACCTGAGCTTCTCCTGGCCTCTTTGATCTTTAAACTGAAGTTTAACTGCAAAATCAATGGAGTTCTCATATCAAGAACTAGCCAAGGCTACAAATAACTTCAGCTTGGAGAATAAAATTGGTCAAGGTGGATTTGGAGCTGTTTATTATGCAGAACTGAGAGGCGAGGTGAAGTTATATTCATGAAAATCTTCCAAAGTCTTTTAAAATCCGCAGGATTTTTTTTAACTAAAGAAGTCCTTTAAAATCCTAATCTAATACACCCCCCTTAGTCCCTTATAATAATTAATAGTTTCAATTTCATCCCTCTATAATTTTTTGTTTCAATTTAGTTCCCAATAATTTAAAAAATGTCAATGTGGGACTTTCCGTCCAAATTTCATAAATGGTGTTAAATGTGATAACATGGAAGTCACGTAGATGCATAGGTGGCATGCCTCCTCAACCCCTTTCTTTAATGATCTGAAACGACCCGTTCTGAAACCAGAACGGGCCGTTCCGCTTGCACTCTGTGTGTGTTAATTTTGCATCTAGAATAAGTCGTTCCAGATGCAAAATTAACACACAAAGAATGCAAGCGAAACGGGCCGTTCTAGATAGAAGGATTATTCTTGTTTTCTTAGTTCTCTCCATATTGAAATTTTGACCAGGGCAAATTGTGAACCAGGATTGATTTTCTTTAGAGTTTTTAGTATAGAGTATCGTCTCAATTTGGAGGAATTCAATGGTATCTTTGGATTTCAAACCACAGGGAAAAAAATCCAAGATCATTTAATCCATACATGACAATGGGAGGCTGGTAAATGCAATTCATCTACATTTCGTCACTCTGCCATTAGAATTATGCATAAGTTTATTGCATCTACTGTTCTAGGTCGTAGCGGCTCAGACAGTAAAGTACGCCTAACTAATTTATTATTTATATGGGCAATTCTGGTGCATATTTTAATATTTAAATTTGTTATGTTATGAATTTTTGTTTTCAATCTTTGAACCACATTGCTGCATTTTATTGAAATGTAACACTTAATTTAAACATCAGTCAATGCTCCTTTAATTTAACACTTAAATTTAAATATAAATCTTGGTTGGCGTTCTGGAACGGGCCGTTCTTAAATTAGAACGGCCCGTTTAAGAATGGACTATTCTGAAACCAGAATGGCCCGCTCTGATGCACTTGTTGTGTGTTACATTTGCATCTGGAACGACTCATTTCAGATACAAAATTAACACACAATGAGTGGGTTCAGAAAGGGTCGTTCTAGTTTGAGAATGGCCGTTCCAGGTGCATTAAATAAGTGTATGGGACCTTACCACCTGTGTATTTACGTGGCATCCACGTCATCTACATTTAACACCGTTTGTGAAATTTGGACGGAAAGTCCCACATTGACATTTTTTGAATTATTGGGGACCAAATTGAAACAAAAAATTATAGAGGGACGAAATTGAAACTATTAATTATTATAAGGGACCAAATTAAGTGTTTTGCCTTTTTCTTTCATTGTAGTGCAATTATCCTTTTTAATAAAAATTTAAATTTGGTTCATAAATAATTAGAAAAAAATTCTAAAAGTTGAATTTCTTAAAATTTCTTACCATTGGAATAAATTTATGTTTGAGTTGTTTAATGCTAACATGACACACTGTGATCACTTTTTTTTCATTTTTCAATGCGTGAAGCAACTAAATTTAGTTGCTTTCATTGAAGATGCCTTAGTACATTTAAGGAGAAAAAAAATGTAGGGGGCCATGGCCGTACAAGTCCCTTTTCCCCACTAGAGATATCACTACTACAAAACTAATTTTTATCGACAATTAATAGATGGCAATAAATTAATTGTCGGTATTTTATTAATCAATTAGAAGTAATTATGGCTAATAAATAAAGGCTGGTAAAACGTCAAGTAAAGGCAATATTGATATTTGTCAGTCATAATTTATGACTTTATTTTTATCATTTTTTTAAAAAAATTAATCTATTTATTTACTTAAATTTTAACCTTTTGTACTTTTCATTTTAAAAGGTTGTTTCATATTCTCACTCTTCTCATGGTTCCGCATCCATAACTTCTCTTCTCGCCACAACCAAAGGTAAATGACAGTCTTAACTTCTTTTCTCAAATTGATCGATCAATTTCAATTTCTCTTGTCATCAACTTTTCTCATATTAATAGCTCCATTTGATCTGTTTTCGAATGCATGCATTTTGAAGATTTAATGTTCGCTGCTTTCAGGTTAGGGTTTCTATAATCTATTCCTAGTTTTGGTTAGATCATTCACTTCATTTCTAGTTATGCTAGATCATTCACTTCGAAGTAGCTATGGTATTGATTTTTCTAACTTTTCTAATTCTAATTCTTCAATATTTTTATTTTCCCGACATATTAGATATCACGAAATTGGAAACCTTCATTTTTCTTTCTACCTTTATTCATTGTTGGTTTGGCTCTGCATTTCCAGCTTCCAGGGGATAAATTTTGTAGAGAATAAATCAGGAGTGACGTACGGATAGTAATCGCACTACGTAGCAGTGGCGGCCAAGAATAGAGATTAGAGGCTAACTCACTTTCCATGCCATTGCCTTACTCAACATTTAATACCTTTTCCTTGTAGCCTTGGTACCTCTTAACCTACCCATTCATCTTTTACAGATTACTTCACACCATACTTCATTAGGATAGAGCCAATGATAGGCCAAGAATTAGGATTTGACATTAAGTTAACTTCATTAGGCCAAGGATGGGATAGAGCCTACAAGGGCAGAAGTTTTTATATTAACTCATAAGAAACGTAAAGATGGAAAAACATTGGATAAGGAATCTGCAAAAATAGTGGTAAGATTTTTTAAATAATTTACATATTTATAACACCACTAAATTTTTTGTATCAATTTTGAGTTGCTATAATTTGTTTGACTTAGGATATGATGCAAGAAAAGTTGAACAGTGGTGAAACATCTAATACACAACCTATTGGCAATGTTGCTTGGAAAAGGGATGTATATTCCCAAGTGATGGGAGAAGAAAGGAGTGGCTATGTTCGTTGCTTAGGACTTGGTCCAACACCTTCTCAGCTATGGGGCAGTAAATCTTCCATTGGAAATATTCTTGGTAGCAATACATTTAATGGGATAATACAAAAGTTAGAGCAAGAGGTGAGAGAGTTAAAGAAGTCAAAGGAAAAACAAGATGAAGAGATGCATTTGATGAAACACATTCAAGATAAGTTAGCATCGCAATTATCTTCCATGACCCAAGTGTTTTATAAACATTTTCCCACAGAGTTACCTTTGGCTCTAAACTTTGGGAGTTCATTCGAACATGTAATATTATAAATGTAAATGTGTTATTTATTTTATTTTGGTTCTAAGATTTAAATTTATTTTCTAATACCTTAGGTTTTTTATCAGGTCCTAGGTATTAATAATGGTTTTGAGCAGGAATATAAAGTTGAAAAAATTTCAACTCCTTATAGTAATATGTTTGAGGCAAGTGGTTCAATCAAGCGTGAGGTATGATCCATTTCCTTATGTTTAAAACTTTGGAACCTGTATCATTGTGTGTTCTGGACCTATTTCTTATACCTCCACTATTTCATTCTCTATCACATTTCATTTCAATTTTACTTCTTCATTTAATCACTCAAATTGTGAATTATAAAAATAAATCTGCATTATTTAAAAACATTGTATCTACAACTTATTGTTGTCTCACATTAATAGCAGTAAATTCAACATTAGCAGATTCATTATCTTTTGCTTCATGCGTAGATTTTTGTATATTTCTAAACCTTTAGTGGTAGTGTTGTTTGCAGATTCATATTTTTAAATTATGTCTCTAAATGAGTTGCACCTCATTGCTATCATGATTCTTGAGCTTAATTTTGCTGTAAATATAAACTTGATTTTCCTGTAAATTATGTTAGCAATTATGTCTTTTTAACTAGAATTCCACATTAGGTGTAGTGTTGTTTCTATAGTTTGCTCAATTACAACATTTTTCATATGATTGAAGTTTAAGGCAACTCCTGATTAAGTTTAATATGAATGTAGAACCATTTAGATAAAGCTTTTGAAAAAAATGCCCCTGTTAAAAAGATAATTGATTTGGGTACTCCTTCAAGTGGCTCTCCATCAACTATAGATGCATATGAGAGGATGTTTTCAACCATTCCAAAGTGTGCAAGATTTGGAAAGCTTTTCAAGGTTCTTTCACTTTATTCTCCTTTGAAAATTTTATATTTAAGGTTATGTTATTAACACTATATGTTTGTGTAAATTTTTAAGAATGTGGACCCTAGAACCTGTGAAGAGAAGAAAAATATAGATTGTGTTGATGATGGAATTCAGCCAATAGGTATTACTCATTAAAAGACAATATCCTAAGTTGTTTTTGTAAATGAAAAGTTGATAAATGTATACATGATTATTGTTATATTTAATAATGAGTTTTGTCTTTTTTAATAAGCAGAGACAAATCAAAAGAGTATGACTAAAGATGGTGACATCACTTCCTTGCTAAAGCTTCTTAGGAAAAATAATGATGAAGATGCTCGAAAACTAGCGGCAAAGACTTTGTTTGATAGGCAAATGTTGGAGGATTACTTCATTGGATAAACCTTTCTTATAATGATGAGGCTCTTAAATATTGTAGAAGTTGGAAAATGCATTTGTGTTTCTCTTTTCCTCCTTTTTTTTTCGAGTCCCTTGTTATACTGCTGTACTTATAGTGAATAATAGTATTTTGGTTATATCAGTTGATTGGTTTTGAATGAATGATCGATAGCTGTAATACAGATAATGTCACAACTTGAAGTTTACCATCAGCTATATATTGTCTTGCCTATGATTGATATAATTGTGAAGTACATGTATGTGAATCTGATATGGCTCACTTTGTCAACTGCCTCCTGCAAGCCAATCTAGAAAAGAAAATGATTTAAGGTTTCATTGGCAATAAATAAAAGCCGCAAAAGGAGTGGGAAGGAAACACTTTTATAAAATAATTTTTATGGCCTTTAAAATAGCCACTAGAATTGTCACTAAAAAATTTAAGTTTTTCCAACAATTAAGTGAATTTTTATCAGCATTTAATATAATTGCCGGTAATAGAATTAGCGACTTTGGATACACCAGCCATTATATAATTGCTGGTAAAAATAATAATGATCATTTATATGGCCCCTAAAAGATAAAATAATTGCCACAAAAACTCAACTTTGGTGTAGTGTGTGGTTGCAAAAGTTATTAAAATCATGGTGTAATTGTTACAAAGAACCTTCATCTGACAGATAGTAGATTTATGAGAGTTTGATTTTCATAGGAAGCGCCATCCTCGCAATCCTCGGTAGGTGATGAAAGTGTCATGAGAGCAACAACTATAGACCTCATACTTGGGCGCAGTAGTGGATTATCTCTTGTACAAGCTCTTCCTAGTTGGGCAATCTGCAACTCATCAAACAACCAAAATACCTTAAGTTTTGGTTGGGATAAAACTGTATGACATTATATAAACATTCAAATTATTTTCACAGATAAAATGTTTCCACCTTGAGAACTGAATCTATTGGGTAGTTTTCTCCAAGCCTAGGATCCACCAATTTGCGAATACCTTCTCCAGGATTACTCTGATTAAGTGCTTCTTCAAACTGAAATAAAAAGTGGAGGGTAACTTCATTTCCGGTTCAAGTGGATGCATCCAATTGACCGGCTTTGAAATGCAAAGAATGCTATTCTGAGGACAGGTGAATCTGTTGCTGAAACAAAGGGCCTTGTAGCTTTGGTGAGTCTAGATACTCCTTCTCTGAACTATATACTAACAAAACAATCTCAATTCACAAATGTAAGCCCCTAAAAGATAAAATAATTGCCACAAAAACTCAACTTTGGTGTAGTGTATGCTGCAGCTTCCGAATGGCTTGTTATGAAAATTCTTCCGAAAATATAATTTCCAAAATTATTAATTATATTATTATTGTTAATCTAATAGGCAGATTATCAATCATCTTCAATTTGGTGTCTTTAATAATTTTTCTGTATGATGTATGATGTTTTTCTATATTCTTAATATCTTCTATAAAAAATTTGCACGATTTGTATTAAATTGTTTCCAATATTCTTCTAAATTATTTAATCTATTTATCTGTCTTCTATGCGATTTGGTTTATTTTTTAATATTATCCATTATATAATTAGATGACTTAATTCTAATAATTTTTTATTTTTGTTTTTGCTTCATTTTGTTCTAATGCTGAATTTCATTAGAATATCTTAGTTTCTCTATTTCATAGTCGATTTTATTTCTTTTTACAGTAGCTCGACATTTTTCTATTATTATCCTTTTTCTTTCTATTATGATTTTTATTTGATATGAATAATCATTACTATTCACTATATAATCAAATAACTTAATTTTGATAATTTTTTAATATATTTAAGTTTTAATCTCTTATTTGTTTTTTATTCCAAAAATATTTCTTTTTTACATTCTTATAAGCTTTCTTTTTTGGATAAACTTTTCTTAATCTAGGTTTTCTTCTACAAAAACTTATTTTTACTCTGGTTTTTTTTACAACCATATTTTCCTGGAATTTCTATGTCTGATATTTTGCAACAAATTACATTGGTTCCTTTATTTAGTTTTCTAATTATTTCTCTCTTTAGACATTGTTCTCTTAAAGTAGAATAAAATATTTGAATAATCCCTCCTAGTGTATTAGCAATTTCCATAGATTTTTGTTTTCAGTTTTTTCTAATTTCAGTATTTAATGGGTATGACAATTTATCAAATGAATAGTACTTTATAAATTTCTTTAGTTTGATTATTTAGTTGATAATAGTATTTTTATAATTGCAAATTAAATTATCTATTTACACATATATCACATATTTGAATTTTATTTAAATGTGATTTTCCTTTTCATGTAAAAAAATTATTTACTCTTTTTTTATTTTCAAACATATTATAACCAATAAATTCTTGGTGTATTAAGTTTGCTATAATTTTTACTAAATCTTGAGCGGTGTTTACCATTCTTTCTATATTATGTCATTGTTCATTTTATAAATATTTTAATACATTTACAAAGGTTTTCTACATTATAAATTATTTTATTATCTCTATTTAACAAATTTTTTTAGATATATCACTGTGTAAATGTGTTGGGATCATCCCTGAATTAGTGGTGGTTGATTTTTTATCCAGTGACTCGGGAAAAAAATCTTTCCCTAAGGAAGACACTAAATTCAATTCAACTTAAAATCACTTACACTTTCTAATTGTTAACCACCTACACATATTCAACTTCAATTATTTTAATCATTTATTTTTTTTTTAAAAATGCATAAAGGCATTGATTTTTTTATTCTAGTAGTATTAATAAATGTGATATTATTTTTTGGGTATATATTTTGTTGACTATTTTACTTAATTTTCAAAACATTATTTCTCTCCCATACTTTTATATTTTGTTTTAAATCTTTATTTCTCCCTAAATTTTATTTTTCAAACTTCTCACACTCTCTAAGGATATGTTTGGTTCAAAAGAGAAGAGAGGTTTTAACGGAGAAGATAGGAGATAAGGGGGGAGTTAGAAATTTTGTTTGGTTGAGAAAATGGGAAAAGAGGTAGCTTTTTTCTTGTTTGATTCACAAGAAAATGAAAATATTTTTAAAACCAAATTACCTTTATATCCTCCCCCCCCCCCCCCCTCTCCTCTAAATCCCTACAAATATTGGAAGGGAGCTAAAATTAGATGAGGAGAGATTTTGCTCCCTTTCATTCCCCTCCTCTTCCCTTCCCTCCCCCCTAAAAACTAAACCTAACAAGAAAAATTTATATAAAAAAAATCTCACATTCATTCCTTTTCAACTAAACATTATATGAATAACTACTCGAAACTATTTATACACTCTAATTGTTAATGTCTCACACATTTAACTTCAAATATTTTTATCATTTATTTTACTTATAATAACGTAATAAAGATGTTTTATGTGTGTTTTTTTTAATGTAAAATTGTTAATATATATTATTATATTTTATTAAAATTTAAAGTTAAATATTATATTTAGATTTTTACGTGTATTTTAAAAATTGATATATATATATATATATATATATAATATGATGTTTTTTATTTTATTTTTAATTTTTAAAA